CCCCAACTCATTAATTTTTTTGCACTTGTTCACCTCTATAGCAATCTCAAACATTTCATATAAAACTATTCTTTTTTTCAATTCAAGTAGCAGTATAATTCACACCTCCTCCCCCCAATCAAATCTCCCATAGTGATGCCCCTGTACTAACAGTAACCAAGAGATTTTGTTCCACCAACTAAGCCTACCAGCAGAGTGGACGGACAATGTTGGCACAAAAATCACTTTATAAACTTGCAACTTTCTCTGAACACACTTTCTCTTTCTCCACACACTAGTTCTCAATTCACAACATGCATGTTTCAAACTCTTCACAATTTCAACAAAACCCCCCTCCCCAGTTCACTCTCACACAAAAACAACCAAACTCATTCTCAACCATCCCCAATAAGTATAGAACTCACACACAAACAACCATACTCATTCTCAACGGCCCCTATCAAACTCTTTCTCAAACACACTCACCCAAACTCATTCTCAACAGCATCAATCAACCTCATTTTCACAAACAACCAAACCCATTATATACAAACAACCGAACACATTCTCAAATATATACAAACAACCAAACTCATTCTCACACACAAACAACCAAACCCCTCAGCCAGCAACCGCTGCCAGGGGGAACAAATGTGAGCTATCACAGCTCAGAGGGCAGCGCTGGCTGCACCCCCCCCCGAGGCAGCGGAACGCTTCCTCAGCCAGCCTCGTCGTCTTGCCCTAAAAAACATTTGTTGTGTGTTCGTTGGATTACCACCGGTGTGAGCGCCACGGTCCGGCGTGTTCACCAACGAACACCAGCTCACAGCTCAAGCCACGACAGCTGAGCTAGGCAAAGACCTATATTTGCATTGACAACGGCACTTTATTCCGAAGCCTTTTGATTAGGCAAAGCTTTCCCCAAATAGTTGGAAGAAGCAGATCAGAATTTTCGTAAGCTTTAAGACGGAGCAAGTCTCAGCTAAGACCAATTTTTATGGACTGTTTGTGGTTTGGTTTGTTGTTGTTTCGACTAACAACTGTCAGTAAGAAGGTTTCTAGCTGCAAAATCAGAGAATGTCGCTTAAACCTCCGCGCCTCATGAATGATATCCTTCACAAACTCGCTTTGCACTTTGGAATTTCCCCGCACCGTACTAAGCTGTTGGAATAATCCGTCAAAATCTGCAAAAGAAGGGAAGTGCAAAGACTGGTCATTCAAACAGACTGGTCATCATATGTGCAAAGTTAAGACGGAGGCAGACCCAAGCTGGACTTGCAAGAGCAGGCAATGTAACCAGAGTCAAGTCTACAAGCCACTTGATAAAATAAAAAGGAAAACGAGAGTAACATTAAATTACTGTCTTACAGATCTATACTTGTGTTTTTCAAAACTGAATTAATTTATGAAGTTGCAGAACTGAGATGTGTCTGTAAAAAGGTAGGAAATACATTATTTTATTACTATTTACAATAAAAATGTATTTAATTGTATGAATACAAATGTAGTGGATGTAATTTGTTGAAGATGTTCTGAACTTAAGGCAATGTAATTCAAACCATGAATAGGTCAGGTCGAATCGACCCTGCCTTTCAGGGCAAATAAGGGCAGTGTGTTGAATATTCATGCAGAAAGATGAAGACATTCATCAGTAAAATATTTTCCAGTCTTAGGAAACAAAATCCCTTCCTGATAAAAGTAATGCATCTCTTAAGTAAACAGAATGAATAAAGTTGGGAATACGCTAAGACGATAGGGGGATGAACCGAATAGAGCAAATAACAAAAGGAAATAGAAGACTGAATAGAGAAGAAAACAAATTGTAACTAGAAGTTTTATGCCCCCATCAACACAATTTAAATCATTTAGAAGGCTGGTTTCAACTTTTCCTGTCCCTGGAAGAGGGAGATACAACATTCTAGAAGGCAGATGGAAACAATACAAATCTTCCCCACTTGTGAATCGAACTCTGGTCTCCTGCATCCAACAGTGAAGCACCTTACCACTACACCACAGACGCCATCAATCCCTTCCTCTTTCATTTCCAAATCTTATTCAAGACAGCCAGGAAAAGTAGAAGAGAAAGAACTTACAAAAGAAACAGAAGAAGAAAAAATATATGAATGCAGTCTTCAAACCTCCAGCTCCTTCTTCCTGACCACAATATCAAAGTCTGTAACAGCTATAACTAGGCCAACTTACTTCTCCCTGGTCGTTTGACCTGTTTGATGATGAGCAGTTTGAGCTGGCGGTTGAAGGCCCACCACTGCTCGTCCTTCCTGTCTGAGATAAACTCATCTATCACAGCGTCAGAGTCGTTGACCTGGTCCAGCCCATCCAGTACCTTGGACAGACCTATCAGGCTATTCTCACTGGAACTAGAATTAGTTTTAGACAAGGAGTTCACATGATTATGAACCACAGAGGTTTCTTCGCCATCGCTGCCCAAGCCCGTCTCTTCATCCGATGTCGTAACAATCTGCAATGGAGTCTCGTCTGACAATAGACAGACAGGGAAGAAAGTGATAGCGAAAACAGGGGATCAGGTCAAAGTATAAACACCAGCCGACGGACACAAAAGAAGCAAAAATGTCTCAACAATCACATAGGAAATCATTACAATTCAAAACGCTCTTTGAATTCTTAAGATATTAACCTCATGTTATAGGCAGATATAAAACATACTGTTCTCTTTGCCGACTTTGAACAAAAAAATGAAACCTTCTGGGCATAAACTTTCATGCAAAAATAAACATGCCCATGAAACCATGATTATTTTAAGAGTGAAGATTTAGATAACATAAACCTCAAAATTCCTTTTGGTTAAATAATAAAAGCAGTTTTTTTACACTGACAAAGTAAATTGGGAATTCTATTTTCTTTCAGTTTACCATTGTTTTCGAAATGAACATACTCAGCTTTAGCATAATCCACTGTATACAAACATAACATTTTCAGAAAGCGGCTAGCATCAGTAATATTATCCTAACAGTCTACTACAGAAAAAAAAATATTGAAAAGATGACTAAAATAATTTGTCTCAGTCTTAGACGCGACAAATAAAATCCACTAAAGTTCAGCACTATGAGCAAATTCAGCAATCAATGTATTCAACACTTTGCCCCCACGTGACACCGATCGTCAACAGTAAGAATAAGTCCCCTTTCGCCATGGGACGCCAATCGGCAACGGTGTGATATAGCAACAAAAAATTTGCAGCAATGATCTCCCTTTTGAAATATGCATTTGTTTAACATAAATTTCTTTTCTGGATGGTTTGTGTGGCCTTTGAGGTTGTAACTCTGTATACAACAATTTGGAGTAAATTTTTTTGAAAACTGTCAAGTAGACGTAGCATGAGTGCTGCTTTACTCTTACGCCATGATGAGAATTAGGGTGATGAATGAGCTCGATCTAATGCTTTGAGTTCTGATTCTAACTCCTTTTATGGTGAACACACGATCATCACTTTTTAATTTTCTCAGTATGCTGAAATTTTGATAATGGTTGGGGTATTTTTGCCAAGATACAGGTGTAGTACTGATGTACTGCATCTGCATCCTGGTCCATGGGGACAAGTGTTGTCTCTACGCGCTGTGTGGGTGAAAAGTATTAAGGAACAATTATTTCTGAAATTTTTTTGCATGTATTCTTTCCAACAAACAAAACCTCAACTGGACTGGCTGCTGAACATTGTGTTCACAACTATTCTACCTTTACAAAGGTTTCCCACAACAAAGAAATATCACTTTAAGCCACATCCCATTACAAACTTTTTTCTGTTTTAGTTAGAGTTTTACGGCACTTGCAACACAGGTGTCGAAGATTAGGTGTTACAAGAGAGTAACATACACAAAACAGAAGGAGAGATAAGGACGATAGATTTTTATAGGAAAGAAGGACCAAACCATACCAGAGCACCCACCGGCAATCCAACATTCCAAGTTTAATCCCCAAGTGCTATCATGCAAACCTGACAGTTCAAGAGAAGCACATTGACACAACCAAGGTCATTTTGTGCTGGGATAAAGAAAACAGGACAAAACCAACTGGGCAACAACAGGAAGGAAGTATGGAACTTTCACAATATTTTGCACTTTTGTATGAAAACAAATAAACAGTAGAGCCAAGCCAAGGGTCCGGGGTGGCCGTCTTACTTACCTGTTTCTGACTCAGAGTCAGATGTGTTGGAGGGGGCGGGGCTTGCGGGCGGAGTGAGAGAGGAGGGAGTGGAAGGACGACGGTATGGAATGTCACGTGGCAAGGGACCTGAGGAAACGGAGGAGTCAGTTGCTGATAGCTCCACTATGATATACACATGGTGCAAAAACAAACTTTAAAAAAAAAAGAGTAAAACTTTCCCAGACATACAGTGGTTGATAATTAACTCTTTAAAATAAAAAGATGGTAAAATTGTTAATAATTCATCTGCGAGGTAATTCAGAAACGGTTCGACTTGTATTTCCTAAAGCTACATCTTTTTACCACAAACGACTATTGCAGTGAGTGTGAACATTTCTCCTGGCATGCTTACAAATGAGAACGTGGCTGTCAACTCTTCAAAACTAACAAAAAGACTGCGCACAGTTGGTCAAGATGGTGGGAACCGGCCAAATAACCCTCTCCAAATCATTCAACATACATTTTTCTGCATTTAATAAATTCAAGCTACTCAAAGTCATAGACTTGGACAATGAATCAGTATTAATAGGTTACGTCTATACAAAGCTCAAAATAAACAACAATAATGTGAGAAATGGTAACTTTTGGTAACCTATGGGCTTCGTTCTCATTATTACTTGTAAATCCAGTCTTGAAAGTTCATAATTTTTCTCGAGCGTTGGCAAGTCTATGGAGCATTAAAGGAAAATGTGAATAAATATTTTCTAATAAAAACAGGCTTCAATGCCCAAGCCCTAAAAAAAAACCTTATTAAATACATTTTATGCATTTGTTGGCAGCTATGTAAGCACAATATAAACTAGTGAATCTTTAAGGCTTTACCTGGCTTTCTCTTCCTGTTGGGAGAGTTTGGGGGACTCTCGGATGCTGAGCGTTTCCTAGGAGAGTTCCCTATAACAATGGCCTCTTCAGCTTCATCAACAGTTAGCTGCAAGGTGGGATATAAAATCAAATGTAGACACTGAAGAACTCATTAACGTATCAACATGATTAAGGCCGCATTGCGACACAAACAAGTAAGGAAAGATGAAAAATGGACAAAGCATCCACTGACAACCAGAGCAAAAACACTTTACTCATGAATTTCAAAAACAAGGAAACAGACAAATACCCATTACACCCAAACTCGCCAGGGAATTTCCTTACGCGCTCCACGCTAACTCGCCCGGAAACGCCCGCGGCGACCTAGCGTCTTTAGAAACTAAGTGTGGCTTTAAGGAGATCCTGGACCTGAGACTTTGATTAGCAGTTATTGCAAAATGTTTCTTCTTCCGTTTGATACCGAAATGAAATTTTTTGGGCCAGTAGTTTTAGTATTAAAGCCGATCAAAGTGCGATCACGTTTCTGACACTTCGAATGTGTCTCGACTTGTTGAAGAGCAACATTTATATATATAACTGTGTTTGAAAAAGGAAATACCGATGGATTTGAGCAAAGACAAGCTAATGGCAAATCAGAAGAATCAGAATTTGATGAAAACGTAGCAAGAGTTTGGGGTGATTCAGATTTATCAGATGTAAAATTTTGATCTAGGGCCCGACTGCGAGGCCGAGAGTGAGAGTCACGGGTCGGAAACCCAAATTGAACTAAAGTTAGAACATTTCCAACAGTTTGTGCATACATTAAGTTATATTTTTCTGAAACTACATTCATTGCTCTTTTTAACTTTTATTTTTTCAGGATTTTTGGAATTTGTTTAGTATTTTTTAAATGCGTTTTTTTAACGCTTGTATTCGCGGGAGGTGGGTTCCTTCCCCTTGCTTAGGATCTAGGAATGGACTTCCCGTCCAGACCCTTAGGGTGTAATGTGTTAAACTAGGCTACATCTGTCACTTATATAATAGAGTGCAAATTGGAAACTTTTCTCCCCCATGTGCTCAAACAACTGATCAAAGAAACAAACTTCTTCTGTATCGCCATTTATCACCATTTAAAAAATTGAAGTCCAAACACGTCAACATGATAACAGTCATTCAGAGCAAGATAGTCGGGAACCATATATATTTTACACAAAAATACAACCAACAGTGAAAAATAATTGGCACATCATATCTTGAGAGTCGGTGAGAAAGAGTCAAAGGACAAATAACCCTTAGACAGGTGGACAACAGTTAGCACTTCTGCCACCTACTGGACAACTTAATCTAGAATACGCATTTCACAAAATTACTTACATATGTGAAGTCTTGTAAGAAAATCTAACCTCACTCTCAACCCATGAATCATCAGTCTTCAGCTCAAACAGTTTGGGGAGAACAGCATGTCATAATAATCTTTGACATCATTTTTAATTGACCACATCATCAGCTTTATATTTAAAATGTTCCAGCATTAGTCTCATCAGATACAAGAATTACCTTAAGAATTAACACTCATCTCACACATTTTAATCTTGTCCTCCAACAGCATTTACAAACAAAAAAGCAGCCACTTCAGTAGCCACACCCACCTGTTTGTTTACTTTGAATGGGTTGCCAAACATGTGAAGCCTAGTTGGTGTACTTTCCAACTCTCGGAGAGCTGGTGGCTGTTTTTTCAATACCTCCTGGTAGTTGCCCATTTGGCTGATGGGAACTCGGTGTCGCTCATCTGTGACAAAGGACATAAAAGGAAACAGTCGATTTAAATGCTGTGTAATTTCATCATTAGAAAAAGTGTACATTTAACAAAAAGCTGGGTACAAAATATGCTAATTCCTAAAGTGAAAAGACCAATCCCATTTCACATGCAATTCATATCGTATTTTCAAAATATTCTGTAATTTAGTTGTAACTGATTATATAACATTTCCACTGTAACAACAATGACAATAACGTAAACATTGTAAATCCGCAAGCTTCATAAAAATATCATATTTGAATCTTACGGGATGTGTCCAAGGAAGCAAAATAACGTTTGGCTGCGGTCAACAGATTCTAACAGTTATACTGACAAAAGAATAAAAAGAAGACTATACAACAGCACCCACTGAACACCAAGATCCCATGAGAATCCATAGATTCTCAGTTCTAGCAAACTTACCAAGATCAACCAATGAATCAGAGTTGACAGAAGTCCTCAGGAAGTTGTTTCTCATACGACTGATTTGATCGATCAGGCATTTGCGTGGGATGTCATATGGATTTCTGGGTAAAAGTAAACAATACAATAAGACGATAACCCTTCACGGTAAGTAAAACCAGGGCAAACAAAAATACATCACTCACTATGAGTTATTTTGACTTAATACCCTTTTCACTCGCACCATCAAAGCATACACATTAGATCTTAAGTCAACTAAAAATTATTTTGTTACTTAGACATAAAAAATGTACCAAAGTAGAGTTATTGATAAAACATTTGTAACCAAAAAATACTTTCATTAACGATACATTTTCAAAACGTGTAAAATTCACAAGAGTAAACCTTTCCCCATAAACTTATGGTTTTTTTCCAATGCCAACCCATCAACTACACTGAATTAACACACAGCTTGAAATCTCTCTCTGTGCTTCATAAATAAGAACACCTCAGTCAGTTTTTATGGTACAATTAGTCTCAACCTCCTCTTTTACTGGGGGGGAAAGGAATGTAATATACAGTCCAACCTACTCTCAACCACTTGTTCAAACAGCCACTTGCATTTTTACTATAATATAACGATACTGTCCAGGAAGATCCCTTTTCTCTCCAACAACGGTCAACTCGGACAGGTTCAACTGCACTGTTAGCCCCCCGTTAGCAACTCTTCCCCACCCCCAATATATCTCTGTGGATTAGTTCCAAGAACGTTTGCGCCACAGTGAGAGCCGACACCCACCGGTAGAGCTGTGGCTTGATGTCCGGGTCCTCCACGGCCAGCGTGAAGCCACTGTAGTCATGCTGTAGTTCTTGTTTCAGGCTGGCCATATTGCCACCTAGGTTTGCCAGTAACTGATTGAAGTCTTTCCTTTGCAGAATGGACGTCTTGCTCCTATGAAAAATAAAAATAAGTAGTGTTGTTGAGTATGTGTTTGAGCAAATATAAGTGTACACCAACACAATAGCGGTAAATCTAGTGTTGGGAAAAGGCTAAAAGAACAGAAACCAAAGAGAAACAATAAAGAAGTAGGATATACCAGTGGTGGTGTCCGCCAACCTGATTAGAACCACTAGAAGCCCATAAAACAAGTATAAGGAGAACGATAAATCCATACTATTAATACTCTGATTACGCTTTAACAAAAAAATTATTTTCTTTTGTAGCCTAAAGCAAAATGGCATTCAATACACAGCTTGTTCACCACCTCTTGTTAATTTTTACTTTGAAATAAGTCAAGAGGCAGACAAATTTACCTTGCGTTTACTCGGATTCCTTCATGGAATGAGCTTTTGTGCCCTATTGAGGCATTCAGTCTGTCCATCTCCATCCTCGCCTGAAAAGACGAAAAATGACCGACAATCAGGTCAGTGTGAGGCAATGAACAGCTAAGGCTACAACAACTCACGAACGAAACAGTTGTAGCTCACAGCATTTCAGCAAAATAAATGTTACATTAATTTCAGAATAGAAAAAGACATAAATACTGAAATCATGTCCACACCACCCATCACTTGCAAGGAAGGCCACAAGAAGCAGATGATGGTGACAATAAGATTAAAAAAGACCAAAAAATTTTAATCTGTGACTAAAAATATAAAGAATATGAAATTAAAAAGGAGAGAAAATGTTGCATGTGACAATTATGGAGATATATCGACACAGCCATTAGCAGTATTATTTAAAGCTTTCTTCAGCGCAATTACAACCGTATTTTGCCAGGAACAGATTAGGATCACAGTTTCTCTGAAAAATTGAAGAATGAGCTGACAAACAATCCTTCTAAGACTGGCCTTCTCTGAAGAAAATACTTTTTTGTACCATATGTCCGTTAAACGAAAAGACTCTCACAAAAATCATTTTCTGGCACGAATAAAACACATTGTATACCATTGAAACAAGACGTTGTCTTTGACCAAAATGCTCTGAGAAGAGGCTGTGTGAAAACATTATGACACTGAACTACATCAAAATGAAACAATACTTATAAACATCTGATTATAACATTAATGGATATGAAGAAACTGCTGCTTGCTAGTCATAACACCATTTTCACTTTTCTCAGCACAGATAAACATACACAAGTAAACAAAACACAGCGCACCTGATTTTTCAGTTTTTTCAGATAGGTGATGACGCTGTAGCTCAGGCAATGGTCTGTGTTGTCAGACACGAGGTTTGGGGCTCCCATGCGTGCCAGCGCTCGTCTCAGATTCTTCACAAAAACGAAAAAAACAAAAAAACAACTTCAAAAACATGTGATGCAGACGAGGAGATGGAATATACATTCGAAACAGAAAGTACATTTAAAGATAACACATTAATCCCCCCTGCAAGCCAAAAATAATAACTCTTTACTTTTAAGGGCAAGCAAGTGTTGTCTGATCATGCAACAAAACTATGACAAGGCGGAAAAGCATCACTCACTGGAGCGTAGTAGCCAGGCATTGTCTTTAGATAGTTCTCAAATCTCTGTCTCCACTGCTGATTTGGTTTGAGATTGTGGATTTTGAACAGCTCATCTGCAACAAAAAAGAGGGGAAAAGATTGTACAGAAATGTATAAACAACAGCCAAGACATTTAAAGTACATTCATGAACATGTAATAACACGTGAATAACACAAAAGCTGTGACCTACTAAGTATAGCATAGCCATATATGTGTAAAAAAATATGGTGGCGCAAAAATGGTAAGGAACCATAATTTTTAACTCAATTCTCTAGATTAGAAAAAGGTGTGATTTCCAAAACAAAATGATGAAAACAAATCTCTGAAAATCATTGTAATTTACAGTATTGCACTCACCAATCCAGTTAGTTCAAGGAAAGAACACCGACATGACAACTACTGTTTTGTGGACAAAAAGGACAAACAAGACAAAAATATGGACAGTAAAGCAGTAAAAAATGCATTTATCTAGCACATATCCATGCGCTACAGCAAGTTTTCTGCTTCACAACTACATGTATCATCTTATGAAACGGTACAATCTACTGGCAGCTTCCTCAAACTGCAAACAAGGTCCAGGCTTACCTAACAATGGCAAGAGAACCGGGTAATTGTAAGGCATAACGAAGATGTTGACACTGGTGAGGGAGCTGCTGGCTTTTAAGTAGCCGAATGGGTGGCACATCTCACTGAACTTGGAGCTGTTCGCCACAAATACCTGTGGGGTGTACAAAATGAAACAATCAAATTGTTGCCCTGTTAGTGGCGGGTCTGAGCTGTTAAATTTCAGCAAGAACTACTCTCTCAGTAGAAACACTACAAAGAAAAGCAGAAAGAGCGCCACTTCATAATCATTTTGCAAAATTCATCACAAAGTATGCCTTCAAAGTTTGCATTACTTAATACCAGTCAAGACTACACAAACATTCAAATATAAAAGGAGATCAAACATATCCCTCAATTCCATTCAACTAACACAGTAAATACCAGTCTTTATGAATACTAATTTTTCAATGCTGCATGCATAAAAACAGTCTCCACATATTTGCAACACAGTATGATGTTAGTAATGTTATTGACAGACCTTTAACATAGGAACTTTCCACCACTAAAAGAGAAGACAAAACAATATTTACAGTATGCCTGCCAAAATTAAGCCTTCATTAAACATCCTTCACTTTCTGCACAATTTCCTTTTCATTAATCAAAAAGGTGCCCAGTTAAAAAGGGTAAATGCTTAAGTAAGCTGAACAGACCACCACTGACCTGCCAACAGGTATTCGGCTGCCTTCTCTCTAGGATAAACTGTGTGAGGGGTGAGGGCTCCAGCTCGTACTTGTCAAAGGGAAGATTTTCAATCACTAGGGGATCTGATGGCTGGCACGAGAACTGGACTACAGGGTGAGCTGAGCGAGGAGGCTGCAGACAAAACAAAACTGAATCATCACAGCTCAGAAACATGAAGGTCAGGAATAAATAAATTCATTAAAAGAGTTCACTTAATAGTAACAACCACAACATGATCTCTGTATCAGAATAAAATTTACCAGTTCTAGATGTAATAACTAACCTGAAACAAAATAAGCTCAAGAACTGGAAAGGATAGACAGATTAATCTCTTTTCTTCAAATTCATATACAATGTACTCTTAGAACAAAACATCCACTTATAAAGGATCTTCGCTTTTCCTACCTTCCAAACACATGCTGAACCAGATTTTCTTTACACGCATAAGCAGAACAGACATTAACCGCAAATATCCACAGTACAAAAGCAAATCTGTTACCAGGGACGGGCTGGTGATGTCCGGCCAGTAGCCCTCAGGGATAGGCCAGTGACCAGTGCAGTGACCTTTCTGTGCAGACCTGGGCACGTAAATGAGTCTCCGACAGCTATGCCACGCTTGACTCTGTTGGTTGCTGCTCAGAGAATTGGCAAGCTTCTTCTCTTCAGACTCCTCCATGAGAATCGGTTTGTTTGTGTCTTGATTTTCTGGAAAAGAAAATGGAGATAATCTTTACCCTCATCCTTGAAACAAAAGCAGACATGACACAAAAATTTTAACGCAAGTCCCTCAAGAAAGCATCAAAATATTGTTCCAAAGCTTTCCACACGAAAAAAACCCCAGGAGTATGGCCATTAATACTCCTTCCCTTGAAAGAAAATAAAAATCATAAACTTACCTACACTATCTCATAATAGTTCATCATGAATTGATGATGACTTCTACTTCTAGCATCCAAAAAATAAAAAAGTTAGGACATTGCTAGCAACTGCAGGCATCTAGTACAATATATATAGAAAAGTAAATAATAGCAATCACTTTCTTATCATCTTATCCATTCTCACAATTTAAAAAAACCATGAATCTGTTCAACTTGTCCAGGAAAAAAAGAAAAAGTTTGTGAGGGGAAAACTTTCACATACCTTTGGCATTGCCATTTGCATCAGACCCATTATCGCCGCGATTGGCATCAGTGATGGGGGGAGGATCCGGGCCAAACTTTTCAAAGTTGATCACAACTCCACATTGGACTTTCTGTACAAGAGATTCAATGGCTGCATTCAGCATCTTCTGACTGTACACAGCATATGACCGACCTAGGGAGAGAGATGACCAAAATGCAAATGGCTGCAAACCATTACACAGTTCAACGGCGACAAAACCTCATTTATATTGCAAACACTCAAAACATGTTTTTTTCCCCCCTTTCACCTTGAATATATATACAATCATCAAACATTGAAAAGAAAGGTTTTCATACCTTCAACCTGTTCTTTCAATTCTCAACTCTAAAGAATCACAAGTGTACACTGTGACATGTATGCAACTTTTCACAGCCCAATAAACTCACGTTTCACTGATAAAACTGACATATTATTACATGTTGATTTTCTTAACTGCTTGAACATCATGACATAGAGCCTGACCAAAAAACAAACTTGTGCAGTCTAAATTTTATACGATTCTTCACTAACTTCACTGCAACATTGCAAATATACAAAATTGGATCCAGCATCAACAAAGCTTTGACAATACTTATCAACATACCCCCTGTGACTTCACACATCACATCAATAGCCGTGTTCTCTGCTGAAGGAATAAAGGGAAAGGCAGAGATGTCTGGTGGCACACTCGCAGGAAGGCGCATCACCAGGCTAAATATCCTCTGATCCCATCTAAAGGGTTCTTTAGTGAGTTCTGTGCCCGGCACCACTGAATTCATTGGAAGGTTCAACTGGGAAAGAAAACAAAATATAAAAATGAAAGCTCTCCTGTAACACTGAAGATCATACTCCAGCCACCAAGTTGATGAAACGGTGAAACGGGCTGCTTTTCTGGTGAACAAAAAGTGGATTTCAGAATATCTAACTTTCGAAGTTCTTCCACAACTTCCATTTTGTTCCTATATAGCCACCTCTGACCTTCTCCATAATATTTCTTCTTCCTTAACAATATTCTACAACAAAACAGTTGTATTAATTTTATACAAGAGACATAGAGCTTCTGAGACAAATAAAAATCTACCATGTGATTTTGGACATAGAAATGAGTATACCAGGTACCCCATTGTAAGTTCTTTTATTTTATCTGGAGTAAAAGTAAACAGCCCAAATCTGACAGATGTGTTAAACAAAGCCTACCTCAGTCTGAATACCACTGTTTGTGGTGAGATGGCCTCCATCAGTGATCACAATTATGATTGTCGACTCATTGTAGAATGGACTTCGACCCTGGGGCAAGAAAAGAGAATAAAATACTATAACTAATCTCTATGGAATGTGCCACTTACAATTTCCAACCATTGTAGGCTTCTGATAGATGAAATTATGAACATTTCTACTACAAAATACCAAAAATGCTCTAAAATATATTACATTAGAAAGCTTCAGAGCAGCTACAATAGAGAACATTGTGCAATAAATTGACAGAATAGAGAACAAAGAAATTGATTTTTTTTCAAGAATGCCTTACATAATAATTTTATTCTTATAAGTTTTTGAGTTGCTTTTTTTAAAAGTAGAGTGGTTTACTGCGCTCCCAACTGCATAAGGTCATATGAGCGCCAAGGGGTGGATGTCAACAGAGAAGTCTTTACATGGAATCAGACTTATTCTGCTCACCTCTCTAGCTTCAACAGCACAAGGTCTGCTTCAACTATCAAGGCACCCCAAAAATAGCAGGTCACAAGAGAGTGACAAACATACAAAAGAAGTAGAGGAAAAATGACAATAGTGAGGATTAGGAAAGAAAAAGCAGCAGTTCCCTGTTGTAGATCAGGCACAGTTATGAGCGTGACATGAATCAGCCTATCTACAATTCTACTGTGCTTGAACGAGAAATGTCCCCCCTTTGGGAATGGCATAAAGACACTACAGTCAGTGGCACTACCCCAGGGGGCTCTTATAAGTTTTGTTTGTTTGTTTGTTTAGTATAGGGTTTTACGGCGCTCGCAACTGCATAAGGTCATATGAGCGCGCGGGACACACCTAATACTTTTTCGTTGGTAGGAAATTTTGAATTTTGCCCGGGTGGCGGCCGAAGCCTACTCTTATCGATTTTAGACCACCAAGGGATCTTTAACGTGCGCAACTTGCACACGAGCCCTCCGCGATTTTTCGCCCTTGTCCGAGAAGGCTAGGTGTAGATCTTTCCTACCAGAAGATCAGGGGTGTGGCAGAAAGACAGCAGTTAGGAGGAGCCAAGGAGTAGCAGTAGAAAGGCTGCAGAAAGAGTCAGGAGCCCAGAGGAGGGGGCAAAGGAGGTGAGGGGGTGGGGGCAGAAAGTGGAAATGAAAGCAGACAACAGAACATTGTTAGAGATCAGGAAAGGATGTGAAAGGAGACAATTTTAGAGAAGAAAATTTTATGGCCGCTACCCGGAATCGAACCCGGGACCTTTGAATGAGAGGCCAACACCTTAACCTCTAGGCCACGAGAGCCCCCTCTCTTATAAGTTTAAACACCTTACTACATGTAGTCATTTCAAAGGTCAAGTACCAAAGCCCCTTACAAGAGTTAAGAAGAGAGAAAGAAGACACCAACAATTTATGTATATATATAAAAAAGATCACACTAATTTTGACATTTTTGACCCTCAGCTTCTATACATGATAACTCATCCACTAACCTGTCCATAAGTCTCAATGCCGCTGGTCATGCGATTGAGGTTGAGAAGGTCAAAGGCATGTTTCAGAGATGGACCTAAAGACGACAAGCCAGAGGCTCGCAAATTCTTCAGTTCAGATGCAAATGTTAGGTGACTCTCTTTCCAGCCAGCCTTTGAGATAAAGAGGAACAACATCACAAAACATTAAACATTACAACTTGTCATTCATCAGAATGACTGCAAGTAGCAGTAGGAATACTCATTATTAAGCCAAAACAGTATACAAAGCAAGTCAAAACAATTATCCTTCCTAAATCTAAAAAAAAAAGAGAGAACATCCTTGATAAACCAACCAAATCTGACAAATTTGAAACCCAGTACACTCAGTGTGAAAGGCAAACACCCATAACCCAACTCTAATCTTCCAAACCATAACTAACAATACCAAAAATCTTGAATTCAAACAAAAGTCTACATAAATCTATTCAGACTATAGATTTGAAATTGTCATGGACACACACACACATGTATGAGGAGTGGGGGTAAAATGTGACGACATTCAATAAAAAAAAAAAGCTCTGAGAACACTACACATCTAATTTTTTATTTTATTTCTTGATGTTAAACTTTGGATTCCTTTGCAAAGACATATGAGCTCTGAAGCATCAAGGGTAACCACATGTTGACTAATCATCATGGATAATGACAAAATAAGAGTTTTTGCATGACTTCCTCGAATCTTGTCTAATGTCTCCAAACAATCCATGCAATTCTACAATAACTTGTGGAAAAGGCTTTAAAAAGAGTGGAGCAAATAGTCACGTCTGTGTGAAAATGCAATACACTACAATATTTTTTTAAAACTACACGTATGGACCCTTTTCTCAGGCACACACATATATATACTATATAGGCCTACATAATCAACTCTTGCTAGAAATAAAAAATATAAACTTAAATTCCCAATTTTTTTTTTCTCACAGATGAATACATCATGTACTTGATTATAATTTCCTCTTTACTTCATATCCTCTCCCCATTTCATCTGTGTGTGTGATTGTGTGTGTGTGTGTGTGTGTGTGTGTGTGTGTGTGTGTGTGTGTGTGTGTGTGTGTGTGTGTGTGTGTGTGTGTGTGTGTGTGTGGTATGAGTGGGTGTATAGAGTTTTTATAGAGTTTTTATATATATATATATATATATATATATATATAGATCTAGATCTAGGCCAAGTTGATATTATGTGGAGACATAGTTCTTACTAAGGCTTCATGACAGGACTGGTTCAAGTAGACGTTTGAAAAACTAATTTGCAGAAAATTTTAAACATTCAAACTGAGGTAAATATGTTTGCGCGATCATCAAAGTCAGTTAAGTCCCATCAAATTTTGCCTCAGCTGCGCACACGTTTCACCCTTGACCTCTGACCGGGCAAACTACACACAATATGACCTCGTTGCTTAGGGCATCCATTTCACCTGTCCCATCATCCCCTGCGTCACGTAGGGCAAAATGGCGACGGTCAGCATCAATACAGGAAATCTGTGTCCATAAATCCTTCTTTATTACCAAAAAGACAAGACAGGAGAAGCAACTGTTCATGCTTTTTCAACGATTTACACCAAAGATATCAGAAAAATTACTAAAACCTCGGATACGCATCTGCTCTCCGAATTACCTTTACATTCGCTGGGGGATCTTCGAACGTCAGAAGCATGTAACGGTCCCATCGACTGCTTGCATCGCGTGATCGACTCTAAAAAAGAAAGACAGAAAACAAAAGGGGGAAAAGTCACTAACCTGTCATGTCTCAAAGATATAATAAATTCCTTGTAAATGAAAAATTTCTTTGTTTTTTCAAAGCTTTTTTCCACTCCCTTCTTCTTTGTTTACCTTCATAAAACTCTCTACAGCTGCCTTCGCTACATCAATCAATGCCGTTCCCAGATATGTACGTTGGTTCATAGAAGCACTAGTGTCAACAAGGAAGAGAATGATAGTCATTACTGCCAATCACCACTATTTTGGCCCCTTTTGAGGTACCAATGGTGTAAAACAACAGATTTTACGCAAAAATGCGTCAGTACCCTTCCTCATTGAAAGGCGCAGCTCGACTGACTGCTTCGAGGAGCAGCCAGCACGCCACGAAATTTGCACACGTGACCTCAAAGCGAAAATGTTTTCATTGGCTGATATTCTTGGCAGGGAGTACATTCTTGTTACAGCTGATATTCGATGCTTGGCGTGAAGTCCTTTCATAAAATAGCTTGTCGAACTACTATTTAGTTATTTTCAAAATATGCTTACATATCCTGAATTAATTCCTTGTCTTCAATACCTTCTTAGAATTAGCCTATATTTCTTTGTGCCTGGTAAAAAAAAACAATGAACTATCCCCACGTATCAATCTTGGAGGAAAAAATACCATGTGCTATTACCGTAAAACCTAAGTTCTAGTGCGCTTAATATGGTGTGAAATGATGTTAATATTGCGTAGTTCTACATCGGCTTTGATCGTTCCAAGCTGGCACCACATTATTCTAAGTTAACTTATTTTTCTTTTGTCGGTGCATAGATGGTGAAAACATGCCTTTGAAACCAGTCACAGATATAAACAAAATAATTTGTAGGATGTAGCGTCAAAATGTTATTTGATTAAGTGCTAAAGAAGCAATCAAATTTTAATTCAGGGGCTAAAATCTGATTTGAGACAGCAAATCAGACCAAAATTGAGTTTAGAACGGGATATAATTGGCAGTTCTTCGATCACAGCTCGGTTGAGTGACATAAAATCGAAATGTTTACAGTAATAATCACAGCCGGGCGAGCCCCTGCATCGCACAGAGCCTCGGCCTACCCCTGCGAGTGGGCGACTGTATCGGCAGATTGGGAACTGCCAGTCGCACTGAGCAGAATCTAACATTGGAATAATGTGTCTACGATAAACCACTTGACTTCTCTTTGTACACATTCGTCAACACAAGGCGTTTTGTTGCGGATTTTTTAATGTTGTGTTTATAATAGTCGGTCTAGATCAGCGATCTTTCCGTGATCTCAGAAGACACAAGGGCGTTGTCCCCGCCGTTAGTGTAAGCAGCGATGGGGAAGCAAATATGTAAAATGACTACAGTACCGGGTATACATATAATAGCCTCGAAGCCGCGTACGGTACTCTACTTTGGTAACCAAACTCACCGGATTTGATAAAATATCTTGGAAAGACAGTCTTCCACCTTGAGACCTAGTTCTCTTTGTCTTGTTTTGGTGTGTGTGGTGGGGGGGGGGGGTTAGTAAGTTAGGCTACCTTTTACGGCACTAGCAACACACAAAAAAGGAAAGGTATTTGGGTGATAGTTATTTGGTAGATAAAAGAATGTAATCTACATTGGTATGAGGAAAGAATTTAAGGAGGAAACCTCACAAGAGCACCCGCCAGAAACCCTTGTTCTCTTTGGGGGTTTTTGGCTGGGTTAATTTTTTTTTCTAAATCATAATGCGTACAAAATATCACTATGACTATAAGTCTATAGATCTAGTATAGGGCCATCGTGTCATTCCAAAGTTTGAGGAGTGCCTGCCAACAGCCAGCAGTTTAAATAGTTGTAGCATCATGCAGCGTAATTGTGTGAGTTAAGCACAATCTACACCACGGTACTCCGGAAAAGGGGAATTTAATCTTGAGATCTTATACTTATACTGTAGTAAGTATGGCCTACTGGCCTAGCTACTGGAAAGTAGGCCTAAATTTAGTTGAAGTCACACCAGCAACGATCACAGAGCTTTTGAAGAAGTTACTGCAGTGAGCATAACTTTTATATAGTTCTTCCTTGAAGTGGGTGTGTGTGTCCTGCGTTGATACGTTTTACCTCGACTGAATTATCGAGGTCACCGACTTGTCGTTTCAAGGGCATCGTTGCAACAATATAATATTATTATTTTTACTGTACCGTAATATATGTCTCGTCCCGAGACTGTTTACTGTGCACTGCTTGGGTAAAACGCATGCAACAGGGTCTGGTGAGACATGTCGCCACTGAAACTTAACAACTGAATTAGGTTTCCCTTGATGAAATTGTGTCTGTCTGTCTGTCTGTCTGTCTGTCTGTCTGTCTGTCTGTCTGTCTGTCTGT